TGCATAGGTAAGATGATTTCATTACTTAGTTTTTTAGATTCGCCTAATTTAGCCTTAGAGAGTATTTAACCTAGTTTATCACTAGTGCATGTCTAGAGAACTAAAAAGAATAACGATGGGTCTAGCAAAGAAGGGATCTTAGTCTTCACCAGATTTCTAGCCTTTAGAATATAAGAAATTAATAACAAAACTGAAAAAAGAGCTATCTACCATAGAAGAGTTATCAAGTCCAATAACAAGCGGGGAGAATTTGAAGATTACCTTCACAAGCAGTCTTTCAATGTGATGCTCCTTTCTTATATTTGAATTCCTCTAGGGGGCATGTCCCCATAATTAAAAGATCGTTTACCACTTTACCTTGGTGGAGGAGAAAAAAAGAGAGAGAAGTAAAACAAAACATAATGATATTGAACAAGATTTTAATTTTTATGCAATTTGGGTAACTTATGCATTTATAGAAAATTTCCTATATTGGGCTGATGTTCCATTCCATCATCATCCACCATCATCATTCCTACTTCTCACATCTTTTAAACACAAATATTGGAGAACGCAATTTACATCCAAATATGAAAGGAGTTGGACATCATTCAATAATGGCAACAATATAATATATCATGCAAAAGAAGAAGACAAAAACTTTATCTTCTTCATTAATAGTAGGAGCAAACAAGTAATATATCAAATATCATGTGGATAATAATATGACGCCACTCTTTTTCCAAACATGCTTATCCAGATATAAACTTGTGGGCAGTTGAAAATTTCTTATATCCCTCTCTCCTTTATATCTTTTACGGATTTAATGCATGGATGGAAAGTTAGAATGTTTTATTCAATCAAGCAAGCAACCAGCCAAAAGATGAAGAGTAGAGTTCATGGATCTATGAAGTGGTTGTCTCTGCCTTTCGACCTAGGAAATTTTATAGTCTTTATTTGTAATATTTTGTGCTTAAAGATTATAAATAAGGTGTGAACTGTAATAAAAATTAAACTTGGTTGAATTATGTTTAGGAGCATTCCTTAAGAGCAATGTGGAAGGTAGAGTTTAGTGACTAGTTCCTATATGCAGTTTTTTTATGAGTTTCTAGAAAAGATCACTTATATGTTTTCTATTATTCTCATGAATAATATTGATATCTCCCTTCGCAGTTAATTATAGTATTTCCCTTGATATAATTCCATCTTCTTATGCTCTGTCTTGCTCTTTGTTTCATTTAACATATGACCAAGATACATATAAATGCATGCGAGCATCCCCATCATGTATCATATATGAAAATAACTTTCATTATATATAATAATATATACTTGTGCATGAGCTATCCCAAAAATAAATAGGAGAGAGTAACAACCAAGCATGTAAAAGAAAGATGTGAATGTTGAAAAAATTCAGTTAGTTTCAAAAGATTCCAGTCATTTTTAAAAAAGTTCATAAAAGGGAGGTGATTTTAGAGTTTAGAAAGATTTGTAGATTTAATTTTGGAGAGAAAGGGAGTGGGAGAATCATGGCAAAGAGAATAGAGAGTGAAGGTGGATTCAAAGTGATATGGTGTTCAAATGGTAATGTGGGGGTCAAATAATAAGGTTGTTGTCAAAAGGCTGGTCAAATGTGGTCGAAAGAGGTCAAGGTAATGTGCTAAGCCCCTCATGCACATACATGAGAACATACTTGACTCATATAGTTCAATATCACTCAATAAATAACACAACCCAATGTAGTAAGAACCTATAAAATGCTTGAGGGAACCTTAAAATATATAAAGAAGTTCCTTAGTTACATATAATCTAAGACTTATGACTTGCATTAAACTAGTCTACAACATGCATTCTGCATTGTGTTCTTTGGCTTCAAAGAACTTCATTGAGTGAAGCTCTATAAGCATGAGTAGAATCATTCAGGATTCTTCCATGCTCAGTCGGATTGAGGAACTCCGATACACTCCACTCGAGCTTGATCTCAGCATTAAGTTGACTGTGATGGTGGCGCCATAAATGATGAAGTGATTGTATTAATAGCCTATGAAGCACCAAACAAGCTACGGGTAAAGATATCAAGTGCAATGTAATGAACTGTGTCCGACAAATCAGAACTACAAGCAGAGGGTATAAGTGTATTAAAGACAGGTACTTCATATGAAGTTAAATCAACTATACTGAATATTGGAGAAATTTCGACATTCATTTGAAAATCCACTTTATAGGTATTATCATTGAAGTCTATGATATATATATATATATATAT